AGAGGAAGAAGAAGAAGAAGAAGAAGAAGAAGAAGAAGAAGAAGAAGAAGAAGAAGAAGAAGAAGAAGAAGAAGAAGAAGAAGAAGAAGAAGAAGAAGAAGAAGAAGAAGAAAGGAAAAATGCATTATAACATTTGATTCCATTTTAAAGGGCAACTATCATGTCAAGCAGCAATGGAGAAAAAAATAATCGGTTAACATTGTAAGACATGGCCAGAACTTGGAGGCAGAAATTCAGCATTTGCACTAACATTAGTTTGTAACCTGAACATATTTCAGGAATAAATTGCTGAGCTATTCTGACTTCTTTGCAAACTTAAATAGATGCTTCAGTGTCACGTTTCCCAGCAATGGAGAACCACAGCAGCAAACAATTTGGATTGAACATTTGACAAGTTGCTGCCAAAGCATTTCAATCAAAATAGAATTTTCTTAGGCTGGTTTGACGCCAGCTGTCATACAGGTGGGACAGCAGCAGTTTAAAAGGTGCAATGTCAATATGCCAAATGACACCCCTTGCCTTCAAAATGGAACCATTTAATCTTAGGAGGAGTAAATAACAAAAAGCACTGGTTCTAAGCCAAAATGAACCCTTACTTTTCAAACTTCATGGATAAATTAACTCTTACCCTTACTTTTCAAACTTCATGGATAAACTAACTCATGGTGGAAACAATGCCTGACTGTTTCAGTAGGTCAGGGTTGATTAACAACAGCCAGTGAAGATCATCCTGAGCAACAGTAAAAGAATTCAGTATTTTTGTAAAAATAGAAATAAAAACCCATAGACAGTTATTAAAGATAAACAACATTGCCAATGCTATTTCAAGCTAACCGTAGGAAGTCATAGTGTCCTATTTCAAGCTAACAGTAGGAAATCACAGGTATCCAAGGTTGGCAAATAACAAAACGTACAAGCATGATATCACAACACAAAGTCCATGATTTCAGTAATTGTATCTAGCAACGGGATGCAGTATTAAAGGCTGACTTTTGCATTGTGACACAAATGTCATTATCTTTCCATTATACAATTTGTACTGGATGCCTTTATGGAAAGGGTTTGGGTTTTCTCAAAGCCTGTAAAATTGCAGTTCTGCAAGAAAGAACTTTACTTTTAGAAGTCAGCTTCGACTTCCAGTGCCTTCTACAAAACATTGTTTACAGCTGATTTCATTTTAGTAATGTTGGTTACACCTAACTTGTAAGCCAGTGAGGAAAGGATGCATTATGAGAACTTATGTCTACCTTTGCTTTTTAAAAGCAAAATGTATGAAATACATGCAGTCCATAAAGAATGCTTCAGACATTTCTCGCTTTTCTATTAAAGAACATAAAATGTTATGTTTGCTTCTTTTTGGAAGAAGGAACAGGGCAAACTTCAAAAGAGTTATATATCTCCCTCATACTATTTTAAATCAAGATGTGAATAATTGGTTACTTTGTGGTTAAATGTTATTGGTCATAAGAGTCACCACTTGCTACTTCATTACTAGGAAGTTAAAATATTGTTACTTATAAAAGACAATCTTCTTAATTAAAATAAAATTAGACAGTAGATATTTGGTCAGCTATCAGGGCTCTTGGACTAAAACAGTATCACAGCTAATTAAGAACAAGAGAAACTTCAGTGTGCTGCGCTCACAAATTAAAACAAGTTTAGCTTCCAACTCTCTGATTTCTGTCATAAGGCAGTTCTATAAAGCCTAGCTAAATAGTGAGGCACCATAGCAGCCTGACATCATCAAGCAAGGAAGAAAGTGAACAAAAGAGCCTTGATAGTACAGTGGTCTACGCACCCTGTTATTAACACAGCTGCCTGCAATTTCTACTGGTTCGAATCTCTCCAAGGCTCAAGGTTGACTCAGCCTTCCATCCTTTCTAAGGTAGGTGAAATGAGGACCCAGTTTGTGGGGGCAATAAGCTGACTTTGTATAAAATATACAAAAGTATGAAGGCTATTGCTTAACGCATTGTAAGCCGCCCTGAGTCTCCGGAGAAGGGCTGCATATAAATCAAATTAAAAAAAAAAAATAGACCTCCTCACCAGCGGGAAAGTGCCAGCCTTGAAGCTGCAGTATTAATGCTATAAGGTTATCTTCCCTATAAACTTATTTTTACCAAGGAGGAATTAAAGTATATCATTCAGAAACCATGTAATAAATTGGCCATGTCCCAAGGGAAATCTGCAACTCTATGAATTCTCCACAACTATCCAGAACTTTAGGCTTATATTCCTATACCTTCCAAGCAGAGAGAATCACAGAGTCATAGATGGGAATCTAGCCCAGTGAGTCCTAACCCTGATTAAAGCATCTCAGACAGACAGTTGTCTAGTGTCAACTTCAACACACACAATAAAAGGGACATGCCAGTTCGATGGGTAACTGGTTCCACTGCTGAATGCTCTTACTGTTAGAAAAAAATCCGTAAATCCAATCGCAAACTGTTTTCCTTCAGTTTAAATCCATTATTCTGTTACCTGGGCTCTGAAACAAAACTGAAATGCTCTTGACCTTTTCAGTATGACATCCTCTTAGGTATTTGAAAAGTGCTATCCGAACCATCTTTTCTCAAGGCTAAGCATTACCAGATCCTTCAGTCTCATTTAGTTTAATAGAATGTGTGTAAGCCGAAAAAGATTTGTCCTTTTGTAAATCTGTCAGATGAACCTGAAGCTCCAAAGGTGATGGTGCCATAATAACTTTTATTTTCTGATATGCTGAAGGGAGAATAGATTACTAGACCCAAGCACTTTGCATACCTCAATTCTGCCCTTTCTCCTTCCTCTGGGAGCAAAGCCAAACAAAAAAAATACTAATGAAAGGATGCAAAGATCACAAAATTTACACACAATCAGAAGATACACTGATGACCTTCTCACATCTTCCTCTTCAGATGTTGCTACTATTTTAGATTACTTCTTCCTTTTTCTAGAGAAAAAACAACAGACTACTCACATATGAAGCTGTTTAACTATGTCTATTTGTTTCAATAAATAGCTAAGGAAATCATTTAAAATGAAATGCTAATTTTAATTATTAACTTAATACGATTCACAGTATGAGAATTACTTCAATTCACTTTGACAGACTTAGTTAGAGGGGTGTTGGGTGCACTACTGGAAGACCAGAAGAATCAGGCTAGGACAGATTATCATGGAGAAAATCGATCTATGTTGTCACTAAAATTCAATACTGACTTGATGGCATATAATCAATCAAACAAACAAACAAACAAACAAACAAATCATGTCACATAGTGATTATAGACAACTATTCCAGCATAGGTATATATAAGCACAGGGAGTATAACATCTCCAAACATTTACCAGCAATGAAACAATTGTGTAAAATTGGTTAAAATATTTTAGCGTATTTTCATCATCAAAATGAAAAAGATCCTTAGTCCTTCTGAGCATCTGGTGGGATGGTTTTTAGCTAAGCTTCTTTTTCTTCAATAAAATATAGGGGAAAATATTAAATTGTGTGATTTTTATGTCTTAAAAATACTATAAAAAGAAGTATTATTATGGTTCGTCACACAGTTAGCCAGATGTTTAGACTGGATTTGGCATTTTTATCCACTTATCGAATCCATCCTGAGGGCCAGGTATATGCAGAAGTTGTTGTTTAGTGTTGCACATTGGTATTGTTGCAGAATGCAAGCTGTTCTGTATAAAGCTGCCATTTGCAAATTGAGTGATGATGATTTTGTCAATGCCAATGGTGTTCAGGTGATATTCCAGAAGTTTTTGGATTGCACCCAAGACACCCATTACTATTGGTATTAATTTTGCTTTCTTTTGCCCCTATAGTTCTACTTCTATTTGCAGATGTTTGTATTTTTTGATTATCTCCAGGACTTCCTCTTCTATTCTGATGTCTCCAAGTTCTGTAAAGTCCACTATATACACTTTTTGCCTTTCTTATCATCAAATGTTACACCTGGGATGCTATGTGGCAAGTGCTTGTTTATTTTCTAAAATCAAAGAGCATTTTAGTTGCTACTGCTTCTCCTTTTCCTCTAGCAAGGTCCTAGAATTCGTGCTCAGACCACGTAAATACTATGTAAATGGTCCCCCAGATATTTATTATTTTTAAATTACTAAATGGCTAGGTTAACACAACACTAAATTGTAAATGGTAAAGGAAGATGCAATTGTTGTGTTCATATAATTTATATCTAACAAATCTATTGCAGCTTAATCTCTACAACATTCTGAATCAGGACCTATCCAACAGTCTACTTAATGGAGATAGAATTCATTAATTCGTTCCCCTTGATGTATAAAACAAGACATTTCATTACCCTATCTGTATTGTTCTATTTATTGGACATATCTCATGAACACACTATTCAGTTCCACACCTCTAAGCTTGATTCAGCCTTTTAAAAAACAGCCTCTTTTGATTCCTATTTTCCTTATTGAAAATCAACACAGTATTTATAGTTTAATACTTTCTTTTATTTTTTTCTTTCTTTATTAAATATTATGCATCACATTTCCCCTATAAGTTGATTACACCTATCCCCTATAATATAGTTACACCTTGGGACAGCAGAGAAGACATTTGAAAGAGCTAACCTTTAAATGATCTACTAAAGGCCAAAAATATTATCACTGAATTGTTGGAGATTTTATGAAGTATTGTGTAAATTGAGAGGGTGGAAAGAAAGAGAGCACTCATGTACATTTGAATTCTTCAGAAGCTTAAGAAGATGTTAAACAATTACAACCTTATCAGATCTATAGTGACAGATCTTTTTTCTTTTCTACCCAGGTTAAAACATTACCAACATTTATTACTCTTTCAGCCAAAACAAGACCTATCAAAATACTGTATATTTCCAAACCAATTTAAGAATTTATTCTCCAAATCAGGACACATTCTAAATAGAATAAGAAATAATATTCTAACATAGCTAATGTTATAGCTTTCCTTTTCCCAATATTTTATTATAATAAAGCAGTATATGACATATGTAATTTCTACTTACAAGCAAATTGAAGTTTAGCTTCTCGGCTAACAATTGTTCCAAATGAATTTGTTGCTATGCACTGGTATGTTCCAGCATCTTGAGTTTTATTGGGATTATTGATCAACAAGCTGCCTTCAACCACACTGTAGCGGTAATCCATACCAATGTCAACAATGGTTCCATTTAACTTCCACCTATATTACAAAAGAGGCAGTAGTTTAATTTTGCTCCCTTAACTATTAATTTGTGTACTCAAAAAGAAGACATACAATAAAAATGCCTTATCTACTTCCTAACAAGCAAGCAATTATGACTTCCTAAATTCTAAAATGTTACATATTACAATAGATGAAGTATTATTTACATCAGTTGTACCATTCTAGAACTAAATATCCTAGCACAACAGCACATACTAAGAAATAAATTCTTTATATCCACTACCTCACAGATCATGTTGTCATTTACACTTTAAATCTATATTGTCCCTTTCACATTAGTGTCTAAAGTCCTGTCATTAGAACATGACTTCAGCAAAAGAATAAAACACTTTTTTTTTTCCTTCCTAACATTTTCCCACAAGTGCAGGATCAACTTTTTTGGATTGCCTGAGTGTTGATCCATTGGTTGCAACAGGAATTGCCTGACCAGCTTGTTGCCTGAGCCTAATATTATGGGCTGACAGGCCCAAAGTCACGAAGCTGACTTTCATGCATGAAGCAGGACTAAAACTCACAGTCTTCTGGTTTCTATCCTGGTGTCTTTACCACTACAGCAAAATGTTGTCCTAAAGATTTCAGATTCTCCTAAAAACGTGTCACTAGAACATAACTTCGGCCAAAGAATAAAACACCATATAGGATCAAAATTGTGCATATAAGACATGTAAACAAGGAAAGGAGCAAATTTGCTGATGTGTACTGCTCAATTAATGCTGGTATCTACTCCTACCAGCAGGAGCCACTAAAGTAATAGAATCTCTCTTGATTACTATAGAACAGAAATGAGCAAACTTTTCTTATCAACTGGAAACTTGATTCCAGTCAACTGTAAAATTCCTCAATTGGTTCGGGAAGTCTGGGCACGCTTCCAACCGATAGCTAAAATATCATTGAACTCTTGAGATGTTGTGTGAGACTGACAAAATGTCACTGAATTCCAGTATTCATAGGAGTTGTTGTAATTTCTGTGAATCTCTTTATGATATTTCACAGTAACATTAGATTTCAGATTTTATTTTATAAAAAGTAGGATTGTATATATTAAAAATAGGGCTGCCTCATGGAGGCATTACTGGATGCTGTAGGATATTGACAAAGTTGTTGATAAAGACACAGTTTACCTTATAGTTGGCTTAGGATTTCCTTTTACTTCACAGTTCAGTTTAACTTTTTTTTCCTCAGAGTCAAGTGCAAAAATCACGCTGCTTGGTTCCTGGATAAAAACTGGTCCGTGCAGTATGTTATCATCTACAATAAATAGAATACTGAAATTTAGTTTTTATGGACTTAAAGCGTAAGTACTACCGCTTATTATGCAAATAACTATAAATAAAACAATTGCACCAATCAGATTTAGACAACATTTGGGCTACAACATTTAGGTGACTATATTTGTAGTAAAACAAAATTCTGTATTTCTTATAAATCACGATTAATTCATGGTGTACAAAAGACATATTTTCAGAGTAAATAGCTTGAAAGAAATCAGACATGGCTTTGAGCACATCCAAAGTAAAATATAGTAAACTGACACATTCAGTCTGACCTACTCCAGCACCTAAAAGTCCATATGTGATTGATTCTGGAATATGAAACTTCTCTTTTTGTTTCCTAGGAATTATTTAAAAAAACAAACAAAACAAGAGCCTAGAACAAACTCTTTCCTGGTTATTTAATCTCAAGGGAAAGATGGAGATGGGTTTTGTTCAGGAATGGAGTCAAATGTTCCTTCTGTATCAGAGGGGAAGATATTAGGTTATAGTTATTGGTGTGTACATTGTGATCTACTGAAGACCTCTTGAGGTTTGCCTGTCTAGAAGCATCCATAAAAAATGGCTGAGTGTATCAGAAAAGCACAGTAATAAAAATGAATATCTCTTGCTTTTATCAACTAGTTGCAGAGGAAATGCCCAGAGGGCTGTCATAACTGGAATAAGGCAATATTTGCAAAATAGAAGAAAAAGGGTTCCATTGGAGAAAGGTTTTATATCCTTTTTCTTTATAGTTGTTTTTTTTTCTGCAGTGAACTGGGAGTTTCAGGATAAAGTTAAGATATTTATTTATTTATTGGTTCGATTTATATGCCGCCCTTGTCCGGAGACTCAGGGCGGCTTACAATGCATTAAGCAATAGCCTTCATACTTTTGTATATACCTGCTTAGTAGGGCTTTCAGACCCCGCTAAGCGGTGTTCTTCTTTTTTATACAAAGTCAGTTTATTGCCCCCACAATCCGGATCCTCATTTTACCTACCTCGAAAGGATGGAAGGCTGAGTCAACCTTGAGCCTGGTGAGATTTGAACTTGCAGTAATTGCAGGCAGCTGGTGCTACTTAATAGCACTTTAGTCTGCTGCACCACCAAGGCTCTTTTTTATTTTTTTTATGTATAATAACAATATACCATTATTATTTTAAAACTTTAAAGATAATTCCTTAGCTTTGTACACAAATATCAAGTTGTGTATCACTTGCATGTAGATATTACAATTGGTGAGTTATAAAAGTAACACTTACTTAATACAGAGCAAAATCTGACTTAAAAGACACAGCAGAAATTGTTTCAAATCTGAATACTTAGACAAGAGGTGGTATTCAGCAGGTTCTGACCAGTTCTGGAGAACCGGTAGCAGAAATTTTGAGTAGTTCAGAGAACCGTAAATACCACCTCTGACTGGCCCTGCCCAGGTGTGAAATGCTCCCGGTTCAGATTGGATCGCCTGATCCGGTAATGATGGAGGCGGGTGGTTCAGAAAACCGGTAGCAAAAATCCCTGCCCCCCCATGCCCAACTGAGCCGCGCAATCATCAGAGGCTTTTTAAAAAAAATTTAAACGCATTTTTTCTACAACCTCTTCGGCCGAAAAATGCTTTTAAAAGTAAAAAAAGAAAAAAGCCTCTGATGATCACATGGCTCAGCTGGGATCCTCAGAAGCTTTTAAAAGCATTTTTTCTTTTAAAAGCCTCTGCCGATCAGGCAACTCAGCTGGGATCGTTAGAGGCTTTTAAAAGCATTTTTTTACAACCTCTTCAGCCGAAGAGGTTGTAGAAAAAATGGTTTTAAAAGTAAAAAAAAAAAAAGTTGGCCACGCCCACCCAGTCACATTACCGCCCACCACCAAGCCACGCCCACAGAACCAGTAGTTACAAATTTTAGATTTCACCACTGGCCCTGCCCCCATCTATTCTCTGCCTCCCAAGTCCCAGCTGATCGGGAAGAAATGGGGATTTTGCAGTAACCTTTCCCTGGAGTGGGGAGGGAAAGGAGATTTTACAGTATCCTTTCCCTGGAGTGGGATGGGAATAGAGAATTTACAGAATCCTTCTCCTGCCATGCCCACCAAGCCATGCCATGCCACGCCCACCAAGCCACACCCACAGAACTGGTAGTAAAAAATTGAATCCCACCACTGCCATAGACATTTGAAAAGATTTAGGATTCAAAAAAAAAAAATATTGGCAGTTGTGACAGATACTTGTGACTAACATAAATAGTCAAAAAAGGGGAAAAATGAAAATCATCAAATTCATTTGATGACATGTTAGCAGATTAGCCATTAAAATACCACTGACACATACCCTTTTAAAAAACAACATAATTGTTTTCTTAATATAGAAAGAACCCATTAGAAGCTATTACTTTGTTTTAAGCAAACAAACTGTATCAACTAATGTATATGAAAAATCCTACAGCAGCTGTTAGAATAAAAGGAAAAGGAAAAAGAGGATAAATGATAACAATGTCCAATTAGCATTATTTAATTGATTATTCTTCTCCTTTTCCCAGCCTCTCTAATTACTACCACTGTGTGTTTGAGATAACCAAGTTCATAATTTGTTTAGTCGGCAGCCCATACAGTCCTTTTGCAAGAAAAGCTGGTACATTATTTTATCCAGTTGGGGAGTTGAAAATCTCAGATGGTGAGAATCAGTATTAAACATAAAATCTTACACGGCATGCACCTGTTAGCCATCTGGCATGAAGAATTCAAAACATCACATATGAATGAATTATGTAAAATTGCTCTGTGGATTCCACACAAAGACAAAGAATGAGAGAAATTGCAATTTTTTTCAGTTCTTTAAAACATTAATTCATAGCTAAGAGATGCATACACACATATTCATGAGAGGTTTGAAACAGGAACAATTGTTAAGACCTTCACAATGTAAGATATAGCATTTTCAAGTATGACTTTTTTCCTGAAGAATGACTTTTTTGACATTAAAGAAAAACACACACTATATAACATATTTATAAAAAAAATCAAACAAATTAATTTGTTTCTTTCTCCTAGTCATTGTTAACTCTTGCATATCTCTTCCTACTTCCTGCCTCTGATAAAGTGAACTGTAGCTTACTTAAGATTGTGCTTATCATTGAAAAAAATACAGTTTGGTGTAGTGGTTAAGTCATCAAGTTAGAAAAAAGAAGACTGTGAGTTCTACTCCTGCCTTAGACATGAAGCTAGCTGGGTAACCTTGGCCCAGTCATTTTCTCTTAGCCCTACGAAGCAAGCAATGGCAAAGCATGATTGATTGGAAGGGCGAAAAAGTAAGCTGACAATGAATATTTTTACGCTTGGGCAAAATGGAAAAGTTAATGTCTTTACATAGCAGAAATTTATTTCAACATAAACATGTTAAGACGTAATGAAAATATATAATAACAAGATGTTACCTTAAGCAATATTCCATAACCTTTAATTCAACCCATTTTTCTTTTTGTCCAAAAAGATTGTAATAGAACAAATCTTAAACATCCAAAGGCATTTTATTTGATCTACACATACAAGTAGAATTATTCTGTTTCACCTCACAATTAAAAAGCAAGTTGCGCACTTTTATTGATATGGGCATTTTATTTATATGCTCACTATTACCCAATTGTATCTTCAGCTACAGGTTAGTTTTTATAGAAATATTTCTGCAGGCACAGTAATGAAAAGTCAGATGAAACTGTTCTAATAGTGCTGATGCACGCCAGTATTTCTGTCACTCTCCTAACAAATAACAACCACAATCATTATAAACACTTGCTTGTTTTCTAATGTGGCAATAAAAGAATATTTTTTAATATACAGTATCCAATATATTTACAATATAATACACTAAAAAGGAGAACAGCAGACTTGTTCCTGGTTTTAATTCCTTCTTGAAAGTACTGTTCTCACGGATGCCAAAGAGTAACATTGTTTATGCTTGTCATTAGCACTGTGCAAATTAATTAATACTACTGCTACAATTCTGAAAAAAAGAAAAACTGCTTTTGCCTTTCAAGCACATGAAATTTGGATAGGTGATGTAGCCATGACAATCAATGTTACAGTCTGTTGTAAACTGCCCCCCAAAATTGGGCTTTCAAAGGCAATATCATTCCCCCCCCCCAAAAAAAAACATACCTATGTATAAATAAATAAAGATCCTCCCATCCATGCAACCACTTTTGCTATTCCTCAAACCTTCAGAGCCAGGACTATAGGCAGTAACCATCCACAAGGCAGCTTATAAAGATGAGCAGTCAGCCGGAAGTCACGGTGGTTGACCAAGGAACTTACAAATCAACCTCCTGCTTGCATCCCCGCCCCTCTCTCCTTCCTTGCTTTCTCACATTTATTTTTGTGAGAAGGAGAAATAAAGAGAAGAGAGGGAAAAAAGCAAGTCTGCTTGCAAGAGACTCTGAGCCCTGGGCAAGTCTCTGGAGCGTTCACAGCTTCAGGATGGCAGAAAAGCCACTGAACCAGCAGGCAGGGCTGGCTTATTGGCAAGTGGCCAAGCGCCAGGGTTAAAAGAGTGCCACAGCCCAGCTGGGAGAGAATCAGCACAGACCTGCAGGGTGGGATCAGGGTCCATGCCCTCTATGGGAGATTCATTCATGGAAATACTATACCCTGATATTGTCACTAACTTAATTTACTGACCAACACTTTTGCAATCTAGAGGAAAATCAAAAGCATTCAAACACATCATCTTGCTCTGTACTTTTCTAGCAAGAAATAAATGAACTTTGCAGAAATGGGACATCTCCTTTGGGATCGGGATTTTGGGTCCTCTCCATTTAATCTGGATCATTAAAAACCTATCTAGTTAACTTCCGGGTTACAAGTGGTAGAAGAAAGTAGGTTCAAAAACATACCCAATAATAATCAGGAATAAACTGTAGATGCATCTGGCACGGGCAGGATAGGGTTATCTGTCTAGATAAAGATATTGACTATGAAAAGTATTTCTGTCCCTAGACAGAAATGATTC